GCGCACGAGGGAGCCCCCTCGCAGCCCCTGCGCCTCGAACGGCCTCAGGTAGCAGCTGAACGAAAGCAGGATCCATATCGCCATGCGTCGGCGCCCGCTGATGGCCAACAGACCAGCCAGCGCTGCTGCCGCGAAGTATGGAAGCGGCACCCTGGTCATCGAGGGCACGCGACGCGCCCAGGCTATCGAGCTCCTCGTAGCCCGCGGCAGATGAGCCCTCCACGAGCCCTGGAGGCCTGGCAAGAAGTGCGCCAGGGACGCCAGCAGCAGGGAGCCCTGGCTCGCGGGGGCCCCGCGCTCGAACTGGTAGTTCAGGAAGCGGGTGGCCACCAGGTCGAGCTGGTCGAAGTCCCTCCAGTCCAGGTGGCTCTCGGAGCAGAAGGCCGCGAACTCCCTCAGGACCCTGCGGTACTGCTCCTCCGTGCTGGCCCGCACCGCCAAGGTCTCCAGGGCGCTGAGCTCCCCCATCGGCGGCCGCTCGGCCATCAGGCGACCCGCCAGGGCGGCGCGGCGGCCGCGGGCCTCCAAGGCCGATGGCGGGGGCCTCCGCGCGGGCCGGCGCAGGACCCGCGGCCGCGCAGCCGCTGGGCGCCGCCGCGCCGCCATGCGCAGGAGGCAGCCCTGCGCGGGCGTCGGAGTCCGAAAACCAGGTGCGACGCCCTCGAGACAGAGCGTCGGCAGGATTGCGTTCTGACGGAATCCACCTGCAGTGCAATCTCGTTCCCGTAGCAAGTGACATCATACAAATTTTTAGCAATGGAAGATGTAGGTACGCTGAGGCCGCTCTCCCCTTCGCCACAGCCAGACACAACGGCATATTGTCGACCAGTGCCAGAACCCGTTTACCACGGCAGGCTGAGGATCTCAAGAGGTGCTTGTAGGCAACTACCAAGGCGTCGGCCTCCAACCCCAAGATGTTCTGGCCCGCCTGGACCCTCGTGGCGACTACGCCCCTCCAAGACTTGGCATCCAAGAGACCCGCGGGCACCTCGTCGAACTCCTTGAGCCTATTCCCGAGATCCAAGATCAAGGGGGCATCGCTGTGGAGCTCCATGTCGGGGTCCTCGGAAAGCTTGTCGGGGTCCAGCGTGCCAGGCGAAGCCGAGTCGAGATCCAACTGACTGTGACCAAATACGACCTCCCTATCTGCAGGCTCGAAGGGGCCAGCGGCAAAAGACGATGACTGGGGTGAGCGGGTCGCAGCAGAAGAGAGAAGAGCTCTATCCCTGGCACGCGCCCCACCTTCCACTCGGTACCGCCACCGCTCGCATAGACGGCCGCAGCGGGCGATGAGGTCGCCTGAGGCCTGCCGTCGGCAAACGCCCAGCCCCTCCTCGCTGGCGTCACTGGCGACTAGCCTCGTCGCCCAGGGCGCGGTGAGGTCCGCCACAAGGAGCGGCAGCAGGCAGCGGGCGCGCCACAGCTCAGTCCGCACGGAGGGCCAGAGCGTCTGCACCTCCGCGCCGGACGCTATCATGAAGGCGTACGTCGCGTTGAGGAGCCCCAGCGCCTCGCGCCTCACCATCGAGGCCCAGGTCAGGTGGCCAACCAGCACGCGCACGAGATGCCCAGAGGCGCGACCGCGCCTAAGCAGCTCCTCGATGGCGAGCTTCAACCTCCAGACTGAGCGCCCCTTGATAGCCAGCCAGCGGCCCTGCCGCAGCTCCATCCCCAAGAAGCTGCAGGTGTCCGAAGCCCGCTCAGGCTCGTGGACTCTCACGCCAGCGCCCTCCAGCTCCGCGGTGATGCGATCCAGGGCGCGATCGGCCTCCGACTCGTCGCCGCCGACGGCCAGGTAGTTGTCCACGTGCCCTGCGACGGCGGCCTGGCCCTGCGGCTCCACGACGACGCCGGGGAGGCCGTCCTCGATGATGAGGTGGCCCGGCACGCCAGCCCGCGAGACCGCGGTCCGCAGCGCCAGCTGGCAGAGGTGCAGCGCCCAGGAGAAGCCCATCGGCAGCACGACCAGGCAAGCCTGCACCCTGGCGGCATCGGGGAGTCCCGTGATACCGCGGGCCTCCAGGTGCCGCCTGTCGATCGGCGGGGGCCTGAAGTAGCGGCACAAGCCCTCGGGCATCAGCAGCCGGTAGAAGGCATTGTCGATGTCTCCTGCCGCGACGACCACCTTGCCACCTGGTGCCTCCAGGTTCGAGAAGGCGGCAGCACTCGGCAGCGTGGTGGCTGGGGGGTCCGCGAAGTACGCATTCGCAGTACGAGTATCAAAGATCAGCCTCAGACGGTTGCTCTTCTTTGCCACGCAGAAGACTCCAATCGGCTTGATATGAGGGTCCTCCGCCTGGAAGCAAATCATCTTCCGCTTCAACATCTCAGCAAGGAAGTCGGCGAACGTCGCCGGAGAGAAGGCAAGGTTGGGGTCGACATACGGCCCGCGAGGGCATACCTGCTGCAGGAGGGCGTCCGCCTCCTCGCGACCACGCAGCATGCTCGAGCTCCATGCCCTAAGCCACTGAGCGTCCGGGCCAGCAACGACCCTGGTGAGAGGCACGGGGTCGTCGCCGACGTCGGGCCACGAGATCAGGTCCCGCGAGTAGGGTCGGCGAGGCCCCCCCGTGGCGTACAGCGGGGAGCCAGAGAGTAGATCCGAAAGCGCTCCTTCGGGAAAGCCCTCGCCCTCAGCCAGCGGCTCGAGGCAGGCGAAGGTGGACTGGATGTGCGCGAGAGACGCCCGCTGGCCTTCAGAAACTCCGAGGGCTGACGGCTGGGCCTCAGGGGCACACACAGCGTTCATGACGTCGATGGCGTCGTTGGCCCAGTCCTGTCAAGGAGCATCATCAGAAGGTTGACGGTGCCCGCGGCGGCTGCGCGCAAAACTGGAGCCCTTGCGTGGGCGGCCCAAGAAAGGCATGGGGAAGATGTCCCGCTGGCGCCCTCCTGGCTCCGCACGGCGCGAGGGCAGAGGTGGCCCGTCAGCCGAGGCGTCAGGGCCCGATGGGCTGGATGGCGGGAGCGGGCGCCCAACTCCACTCCCCGCTCCGAGGCTACTTGTCATCCTTGCCAGAGCCCTTGTCGCCCTTGGTCCCCTTCTTCTTGCGGGCCAAGTCGCGCTCCTCTCTGGCTTTGCGCTGCTCCTTCCTGTAAGCATTCATCTTCGTGAGTTCGTCCTTGATGTGGTCCGGCAGCATCGGCGCGACGCACGCGTTCCCGCGCAGCTGGTCAGTACCGAGCAGCACGTGGGCGTCGAGGCTGCCTGAGTCGGCTGCCGGGGCGACGCGGTCCCTGTAGCGCTCCTCCTGGAGCTGCACCGACCTGGCCAGCATCTCGCCCGAGGCGAGATTCGCAACATTCAGCTGGTCGTAGATCACCATGCGCTCGAGGGTCCTGCACGCCCGCTCGTGCTCGTCGACGCCAGGCTCGGTGCCCTGCAAGCGCGTCTCCGAGAGCCAGCGCGAGTGGCGGCCCGTTGGAGTGCCGCCGTGAGCCTCCATGAACTTGAGGACCCACAGCGCCGTCCGCGGCCCCCTGACTGGCCAATCGGGGAAAGCACCCTCGGTCATGCCCATGACCGCGCTGCGGTAGTCCGCGCGCCGCTGGCCCTGCAAGTCGTACGTGACGGGCTGGATGCGAGCATCTACGGGCGCGGCCGCAGCCGCCGCGGCCCCACGGCCCCACGGCCGCCTTCGGCGGCAGCTGGCCCTGCAGCCGCGGGCGCCGCTACCAGCGGCGGCGGGGGGCCTGCCAGCGCCGGGGCGCCTGCCCCGGGCGCCGCTGGGCCGTCAGCGAGCGCGGCGGCCAGGCCAGCCACCCCAGCCGCCACGGCGGGTCCCCCGAACCCGGCGGCGGGCGCCGCGGGGGGGGCGGCCACCAGCAACCCAGCAGGCGGCCCCACGCCACCAGCGGCGAGCGCCGCTGCCGCTGCGCCTCCGGCCGGCGCGATGCCAGCGGCGCCAGGCCGAGGGCGGGCACCGCCTGCCGCGCCGACCAGGTTGGGCACCACCGTGTCCTCAGCGCCGAGGGCGACTCCCATCCTTGCAGCTCCCGCGGCCAGCACCTGCGCGACCCGCGCGGGCGCGGGGACGCCCCTGAAGCCGTGCACGTGCATCCCAGCAGCCGCTGGAGGGTACGCTCCCATGCGTCCGCCCTCGCACGGCAGCCAGCGCCGCACTTCAGCGACGGCGAAGAGGTCCTCCTCGTAGCTGTCGTCGTCCGGCGTGAGGGTGCACGCCAGGCTCGAGCCGTCGGGCGCGAGCACCACCAAACGCTCGTGCCACACGTTAGCGTACCCAACGTACTCGACCAGGATGAAATCCCCTTCCTGCAGGCCCAGGGCGGCGATCGGATGCCGTGCAGCGGCCGCAGCCGCCATGCTAGCGGGTCAGTTGGGGCCTCGAGGCCCGCAGAGCTGCCACCTGGGCCGCCGCCAGCTGCGCTGCTGAGGCAGGCGCCTCCAAGGCCGCCGTGGGCGGCCGCGCGGGGGCGTCCGCCGACGCAGGGGCCCCCGATGTCGCGGGAGCGGCCCGCCTGCCAGAGGCCCAGCCAGCGGCGCCCACCGCGGCAAGGCTGGCCAGCCACGCAAGGCCAGCACCCAGCAGCTCGGGCCGCGGGGCCTCCGACACTGAGCCGCCTGGGCACGCCAGCCGCGGCTCGCAGGTGCAGGTGCAGTGCGGGCACGGCGGCGGGGCGGGGCACGCTGGGCACTGCGCACCCCAGGCGGCGCCCCAGGCCGCCGCGCCAGCGGCGAACCCCCGCGTCGCCTCGCGGAGGATGAGGCCACCGGGGTCCATCCACGGCCCGCCCCCTCCGCTCGGAAGCCCCTGGGGCCTCGGAGCTTGAGCAGTACGGCCGCGCAGAACGCGGTGCGGCCGCCTGCCCGCTCCCCTCCTCGCTTCACGATGTTAAATCTACCATATTTTCTGGGTTGTTGTCTTCCCGCCCAATTCCCATATTTCCCATATTTGCTGGGGAATCGGCGATGAATTGTGTCTGTGTGTTTCTTTCCCTCCTGACAGAGGCACGGAGTGCTGCGGTTCGGTACTTTTTCATCCCCACACACACGCGCACCACGCTTCCCTGGAAGGCCATGTCCGAGGCGAGCGCCCTCCGCCCGTTCCGTGCCCGCAAGGGGGGAGGAGGAGGAGGAGGAGGAGGAGGAGGAGGAGGAGGAGGAGGAGGAGGAGGAGGAGAGGAGGAGGAGGAGGAGGAGGAGGAGGAGGAGGAGGAGGAGGAGGAGGAGGAGGAGGAGGAGGAGGAGGAGGAGGAGGAGGAGGAGGAGGGAGGAGAGGAGGGAGGAGGAGAGGAGGAGGAGGAGGAGGAGGAGGAGGAGGGAGGAGGAGGAGGAGGAGGAGGAGGGAGGAGGAGAGGAGGAGAGGAGGAGGAGGAGGAGGAGGAGGAGGAGGAGGAGGAGGCCCGCCGCTGCCTCTGCAGGCGCCCCGGCCTCACGCCGCAGGAGCCCATCGATGTGCTGGACTCTCCGCCGCCTCCGCCGCCGGCGGCACCCACGACCTTCCTCCCGGCGGCTCGCCGTGGAGGCCACAGGCTCGTTCACGACTCCTGCACTTGCCGGCTCGAGCGCGTGGGTCAGAAGGGGGTGTCCAGCTGGTCGTGCGAAGCTCCCGCGTGGCGCGCCGCCTGCTTCTGCGCCGTCAGACGGCGTCCTGGTGGCCGAGGTGAGGGGCGAGCACAGCCACCTCCCTTGCCCAGACAGGGTGGCTTCGCTCCAGGCGGCGGGGGCCGTGCGCCCGGCGGCCAAGGAGCAGCCCAATTGGCTCCAGCGGTGCCCCTGGCGGGCGGGGGCTCTCGGACCTCGCGGAGGATGCTGTCCGGGCGTCGCCCCCCACGGGAGCCCTCAAGCGCCTCGTGTGGAACGTCAGCACGGCCGGCACTTGCGCCGCAAGACAGACGGGGAGGACAAGGTCGGGGACAACGATAGGGGGGATAGGCATAGGGGGGGACGCATCGACCCCCAATCGCCCAGGCATCGCCGACAGGGGCCCGACAGCCCAACCTGCCCAGGAAAGTGCGGATTCACTATCGGGGCCCTGTCGTCGATCTATCGGCGATGCATCGCCGATTCCGGGTCGATGTGCCCCCCCAGCTGTGCCAGTCCCTCCCCACCGTTGCCCCTCACAAGGGCGAGTTCGGCTGCCTCTACTCCTTGTTCTGGCCCACGCCCCTGACCGTGCAGGGCGAGAACCTCCTCTTGTACGACTCCGGGCCGGGGCCCTCAAGGATCGTCCTATTCGGCTCCCAGGCCCGCTTGCAGGCCCTGCGCACCTCCGAGGCGCCGAGCTCCTCTCCTCCTGCTCCTGCCCTTCCTGGAAGCAAGCCTTACCGCCTCCCCCTCCTCCTCTCGACTGTTGAGTGCCTTCGCAGGAAGGGCCCAGTGAGGGGCGCCGACTGCAACAAAACTTAAGTTGGGCCTGTCCCCCTACAGGGGAATTTTCGACGAAAAATCCCAGATACCCCAAAAATTGTCCAAAAATAATCCAAAAATAGTCTGGGGATTATTGTTGGACTATTTTTGATTACGTTTGGACTATTTTGGGGGTATTTTTTTATTGTTCGTCGAAAATCCCCCTGTAGGGGGACAGGCCCGACCTAAAACAAAACGAATAAGTACATGCCGGGACGCCGCCCCCATCAGTCTCTCCCTCCCCCTCCTCCTTCCCCTCCTCCTCCTTCTCCTCCTCCTCCTCCTCCTCCTTCCCCTCCTCCTCCTCCTCCTCCTCCTCCTCCTCCTCCTCCTCCTCCTCCTCCTCCTCCTAGACGCTGCTCCTGCTGCTGCTGCTGCTGCTGCCGCCGCTCCTCCTGCTCCTGCTGCTCGCGCTCCCCTGCTCTCCGGCCCCTGCTGCTCGCGCTCTCCTGCTGCCCCTGCTCCTCCCCCCCTCCCTTCCTACCTCTCTCCCCCCCCCCCCTTCCTCCTCCTGCAGGAGGAGGAAGGGAGGGGGGAAGAGAGGTAGGAAGGGAGGAGGGATAACGAGAGGCATGCCTCTCGTTATCCCTCCTCCACCCCCGTCTGTGTCCTCCCCCCTCCCTCGCCGCGCCTCCTCCCAGGTGTGGCTCGCGGACGGCACGTACCAGCTCTCGCCCCTCCTTTTAGGCGAACAATAAGTGACGTAAACATAAAAACTCGGAGGTCCGCGCGGAATTCTCGAATCGGCGCTGGGGCCCCCTAGCCCCAGCTACTGCCCGTGAACGGGCTCGCGCGGCCCTGCAGTTGCTCGCTGCTGCCTGGGAAGACCGAGCCTCCGTGCCGGGAGCCGTGGCCGCAGGCCTGCCGCCTGCTGGGCCCGGCGCCCCGCACGGACCCGGTGCTCATGCTCGCCTGCACGCACACTCCGCCCACCTGGCAACTGTGGAGGCGTCCGGCGCGGCCCGCGCGGCGGGCTGCTGTCTCGGGTCGGGCGAAAGGGGGGGATAGCAAAGGGAGGGTTTGAGAATCAGCTCACGCAGCTGATCTTCCCGGCGCCCCTCAGCGCCGGAGGCGCCCAGGCATCGAGGAGTGGGCCCCCCGGTGGGGCCGAAACCAGCTGCATGCAGCAAATTTCGTACCCCCCTCTTTCCCAATCCCCCCCTGTCGTCCGGCCCGACGGCCTCCACTCCAGGCAGGCTCTCCACCGGCGTCTCCAGGGCCGCGGCCTCCAGACCCGCTGCCTCCAGCGGGCAGGCTTCCGCGCGCGCGCGCGTCCATGCTCGGAGCGCTGGCCTCTCTCGCCGACCAGGCCACGTGGCCACCTGCGCCGAGTTCTGCCGCCTCGCAGAGGCGCTCCCGCAAGAGGAGCGGCCGCTCTTGGCGCACTTCGCCTGCCACACGTGGGGCGGCAGGCCGGCCAGCCGCCCCTCCTCCTCCCGCCCGCCCTCTCTGGTCTGCGCACGACCGCGCCGAGGGCGCCGACTGCTTGACGACCATCGACGCGGAGCTGCTCCACCAGAGGTTTCCCGCCCACCTGGTCCAGAACGCAGCGCACCCAGAGGCGCCCGTCGTCTTGGTGCCCCTGCGGAAGCAGCAGGCCATCACACACAACGACCTCTCGAAGATTCTCTGGCTGCCGCCGCACCGCTGCACCGTCGACCACGCAGCCGGGAACCCCCCAAGCCCTCAGCACCTTTACCTTTACCTACTCCTTTACCCTTGCCTTTCCTTTTCCACTTTGCCTCCACTTTTCCTTTCCCTTTACCTTTGCTTTAGGGGAACGAAAAATAACATAAGCATAGAAACTCGGAGGGCTGCGCGGATTTCTCGAATCGGCGCTGGACCCCCCTCCCTGGCGCGCGGAGCGCGCCAGGGGCGGCGCCGGAGGCGCCGCCAGGGGAGTCCAGCGCCGATCCGAGAAATCCGCGCGGACCTCCGAGTTGTTATGTTCATGTCATTCTTCGTTCCCTTATGCATGTACCGTTAACTTTACCTTCACTTCTGGCTTTCTCTCCACCTTTCCGAGGAGGGGCCCCATGGGGGGTGGGACGGGGTGCGCACGGGCAGGCTGGGGCCCGGACCCGCGCGCCGGCGCGCCCCCAGGGGTTGGCGGCTCCGCCAAGGGGCACACAGCAAGGAGGCTCCCAGGACGCTGGCGCGCACGTGTGCGCTGAAGGCTCGCGTCTCGCAGTACGCGGTGGACCTGCTGGTGCTGGGGGTTGCGACCGCGCTGCTGCGGGGCGTGGCCGCGGTGTACAATTGGAGGCCTGGAAATGGGCACCAACACCAACACATGGGGGGTTCCTCCACAACGGGAAGATGATCCCAGATTTCGGTGTTGGTGGTAATATTTGGGCCACCTTGGAAGCCAGAATATTACCACCACCACCGGGATCGGGATCTTCCTCCCTCGGTGTATGCACACCGACGAAATTGGTGTTGGTGTCAACCTCTAGGCCTGCGATACACGCACGAGAGGGGCCGCTTCACGGAGCCCTCCCCCGCCCGACTTCACGCTGGGCGCCGGGCGGCGGCGCCTTTGCACAAAAGGAGCCACGGAGGATGCCCTGGCTGACGGCGACGACGACCACGAATACCAGGGCGGCAGCGGGGACAGACGACGGCGGCCGATGACGACGACGGCGGCGACGACGACGACGACGACGCCCGACACCCGACGCCCGACGACGACGACGACGACGACGACGACGACAACGACGACGACAACGACGACGGCGACGACGACGACGACGACGACGACGACGCCGACGGCGGCGGCGGCGGTGACGACGGCGTCGGCAAAACCATCGCCGGCGCAACCAGCGCTGGCGAAACCAGCCGCCGGCGAAACCAGCGGGGCGAAACCGGCGCCGGCGAAATCAGCGCCAGCGAAACCAGCGCCGGCGAAACCAGCCGTCGGCGGAACCAGCGGGGCGAAACCAGCGCCGGCGAAACCAGCGCCGGCGAAACCAGCGCTGGCGAAACCAGCTCATGCCGCGAAGCCGGGACTGATGGGCTGCCTGGGCATAGGTGGTCTTCTCGCTCCTGGCGATCTTGTGCTGCTCCGCGACTCTATCCTGCTTGTGGAGCGGGAGCGGGAGGGGGAGGAGGGGGAGAAGAGAAAAAGAGGTGGCGGGGAGGAGGGGAGGAGGGAAGGAGGATACAGACTCGTTCAACGTTTGCGGCCCCTGGAGCCTCCGGAGCGCTGACCTCCGCAGACCTCTGCGGGCGCAGACCTCCGCAGGCGGTGCGCCGGTGCGCTCTCGATGGGCCGCCGTGACCTCGGGTGGGCGCGGATCCGCATGACAAAGATGTTCGGGGCGTGGCTACGCACAGGTGAGCGACAATCAGAGACAATCAGAGGAGCAGGAGGAGCAGGAGGAGGAGGAGGAGGAGGAGGAGGAGGAGAAGGAGAAGGAGGAGAAGGAGGAGAATGAGGAGGAGGAGGAGAAGGAGGAGGAGGAGGAGGAGGAGAGGTCAAGCGTCCAGGTGAGCGACGGTCAGAGGCAGGTCTGCCGCGAGATGGCGCGGCGACCTCACGCGGCGGCCCGCGCGGGCCGCTGCGGCGCGGCACGCCGCACCGTTAAGACGCGGGGCGCCTGCGCGGGACCTTATGATGATGCGGGCAGCGTGCGCGGGAAGGTCGGCGCGCTCTCTTTTTCCCGTCGTGGCGTGGCAGAGGCAAGCCGCTCGCGCGCTCTATTTGACTACCTACCAGACCACCCCAACCCAACCCGAAGACCCGAATTTGACCCGAATTTCGGGTTGGGGGGGGTACGGGTTCCATGTGTTTTTTCAACGTTCCCCGACCCCCCCCACACTGGAAATGGAGGGCACATTGAGGCCATCGGGTTGGGTTGGGGTGGTTTGGTAGGTGGTGACTATTGGCTGGGGCAGAGCGTGCCAATTGTCCGAATGTCGGCGCAGGCGACCCCGTTTTCGTCTGTCTCTGCTGCGTCGCGCAGGCGGACGCGGGACCCGAGGAGGGGCGAGGTCGAGAGGGAGAGCTGCGGTCGACTTCGGCACCACTCCCGCGACAAATGGGCGAGAAGGGTGCGAGCGCGATCTGTTCCCCTTGGGGCTGGCGGGCGATTACGTGCCTTAAGATCTGCTCAGCTGAGCCACAAAAGCTTCGGATGTGCAGCAACAGTACACCACCTCCATCCCCCATCCACCACACCGTTCATGTACATGCTTGCTTGCGGAAGCGGGCATCGGCACGAGCGAAGGCGCACTGCTACGCCAGCTCAAGCCCACCGCTTGCCGGCACTCCCCGTTTCGACTGCAGCACCCCTCCCCTCCGTTTCCCTCTATCCCGCCAGACCCTCGCAGGATAGGGCGAAGGGGCAAGCGATTAAGGAAAAATCAGCGTTACCGACATCCCAGAAAACGCGGAGCACTCCAAGCATCAGCAGTGAAGAGAGAGCACGCGAATGGGAAATTCCGCGCCTGCGTCTCGGCCATCATACTATTCCTGGGCCCAAGCTGCATCCACGATCTCAAATCATAACGGTGAAGCTAGGTCATACGTGATTAACTAACATTGGATGAGCGTCATGGGCTGACTCGACAGACCAAGTCACTCAAGCGAGCAACGCATATCGTCATGACATTTGCAAGCGATGGCCGACATAGCAAGCAACAAGTACGAGCACGGACGCCGCAGGTCCAATCACGCCAGCAACACATCCTTGCACTGCGCGGTGCGCAAGCTCACACGTTGTAGGGACAGGATTCGATGGCAATGTTGCGCTCATGACTGCTCAGTCATATACACATTGGCACACCACTCTGGTCGCAGCATTGTCCGTCTGCTATAGCCATGCTGTGCTGCCGAACTTCCGCCCGAACTTTGCTGCGTTATCTCAACGCCACCATGTTGATTGCCGATTGACGGCCGTCGCTTCTCTCCTCAGCAGGCCTGTCGCTCGCCCCATCTTGCAGGCGAGGCAAGAGGATGCATCCTGTGCGCAGCAGATGCGGCTCTGGACAGCTCTGCCAACAGAGCGCCTGGTCTTGTGCCGATCGCCTGGGGCACGGGTCGGCCCATGACAGGCGAATGACGCGACACAACGCACGCTTGGGTCGCAGTGGCGTGGGCCCACGCCGCGGTCGGAGTCAGCCGAGGGGAACTACGGGGCCTACTTGGGCACAACAGGAAAGGAGGGCGACGACCATGCGCACACGAGACAGGCTCTGGTGAAGTGCCGCACAAAAGAATGACCCACCAACGCCCCCGGGACCGCCACGCTGCCCTGGCTCGGGCCACCCCGGCCGCGCGACGGGGCCTGAGTCAGTCCGTGAGCCTCTTGCCGGCGGCGACGCAGAGCGCGAAGCGTCGAGCTGGAAGGAGAAATTGGACGAGCGGCCGTGGATGAGGGTACAGGAGGGCGCTGCGCTCAGAGCGTGCGGCGTCGGCTTAAGAACTCTGGAACGTCTGAGTGCGAACAAAACCTCTCCAAGAATCCACGACCTCCCCCTCCCCGCGCCTGGTGCGTCTCTAGATCTGCACACATTGGTTTCCTACAAGATGTTAGGGATACGCTGTCCAGAGATGGGCGCCACATGGGCCCTCGAAGTCCAGTGCCACTGCAGAGCCTAAAACCAACGGCGTGCTCTGCAACGGAGCTGCAGCTGCCCCCCTGCCCAGCCTTTGCTCCTCAAGAGTCTAGTCGACCCCCCTTGGCATGAGCCTCTTCGGTCATTCCCCGCTCCTCGCCCCTGGAAGGAACCGAGGATCACCAAAGCTTGTAGACATGCCAACGGAATGCACGCACACCCGGATGCTGGCCTGAAACGGAGGGACTCCAGCCACTGGCCAAGCAAGCTTGCCATCGCTCGGACGTCCATTTCCCGTGCATTTTTTCGGTCTCGTGCGTGTTTTTTTTTGCCCGATGGTCCAGGATGGTCCCCGATGGTCCTTTCTGTTGCAACTTCGGGGGACCTCGCCTGTCCCCAAAATTGGTGTCTTTTCAGGGGCCCGACGCGGGCTCGATGCGGACTCGACGCGGATTTGGCATGGATTCGACGCGGATTCGACACGGATTCGACACGGATCCGACGCGTCCGACATGGATTCGACACGCATTCGACGCGGACAGGGCCGCGACGGGACAGACAAGGCCCCCCGAGGATGCAACACAAGGTCCTCGCCGAGGAGAAACTGCACACGCCCGAGCGATGCCAGGCCCCAGGGGCTCCTGCGGGACCCCGGAGGCATCCCTGGGGAGGACAGAAAGCCTCCGCGGAGGGCACCTGCCGGCCGGCCTCTGCTTTAGGTGCGCCCCCTGCACCGAGAGCCCCCCCCCCACCGGGCAGCGCCGAGCTCTCTCCGGGAGGTC